CCCTTGTATCTTAAACTTAGGGATGACTCTGAATGTTTGTTCTGAATTTTTACACTTTCATTGCTTCGTTTATATATTCTGCATCTTGGAGACATGACCTATTTTGTGATCTCAGAATTGTCCTTTTAAGACATAGCCATGGTAATCTAAGTGGATTACCTAAATCCAAATCCTGGTGGTCTGCAATTTCTTTTGGAAATCTTTCTACTTTGCTCAGTCTTTGTTTACTACTTTAATTTTCTCTGAAATAGAGGCAGACAAAGCACAGCTATTGCTGAAAACAGAACTTCATTTAAACCTTCATATATGAACCTGAAAATATGTAATTTTAAAATGACCATCTTTGTTTAGAGAGAGTATATGTCAATTGGTCAATAATACTTATATCTGAAAACAATAAAACATGTAGCTTCCCTTAGTTATTTTGATAAAGCCGAGTAGAGCTTCCCTTCAATACTGTTTCAAATATGTTGTCTTTTTTTTTTTTTTTTAAATACAGGAGACTAAAAAGCCAAGTTACTTCAATTGCTTGTCCAGTATTTTGATTAGTAGCACATATGGAATGGCTCTAGGCTTTGTGGCTGGTACTGATTTTGTTTTATAAGAATATATAGCAAAGCTTGATATTTTTTTAAATTTGTATTACCAAAGGCAAACTATTTGCTCATGCCTTTATTTTGAGCCATCCAATTGTTAAACAATATATGCCATTAAATATATGAAGAAAATAATTGGTGCGACTATGTTTCTTAGTTTTTCGGTTTTATTGAAGAGATGGCTAGGTGTTTCTATTAGACATAATAGAATTACATCATTAATACAGATTTGAGAAGAAGCCTCCATTGAGATTGTTTTGTAGAGAAAATAAATGAATTGCAAGATGTATGTGTGTGTCAGTCGCTTACCCAAAGCAGCTGTAAACTGAAATAGTTTCATAATGCTGTATGGCTAACAGTTCTTATGGATTTTATTTTGTGGGAACAATAGTACTTCATTTCCTTCTCTGTGCAGCAAAGAATTATAGAAAGCTTTCAGTATATATCTCTGAGATGCACAGCTCAAAACTCTAAAAGTATACTTTTAAAAGTATTCCACCTGTGTTTTTTGGATTGTGAAAACAAAAAAAAAATCCGGTTTGCTTTTTTATGTAGTACCACTATCTGAGTTTATGGGTTTGAAAAGAAAAATGAGATTTCTTAAGGGTTTTTTTAGACAAAAAAATGTTACACATTTTGTTAATATGAAATTGTGGACATGTTCCCATAAACAGAAGGAAAACGTCCATTTTATTAGTGTCTGTAGATGATATTTAATGCATCAATTGATTATTCTGTGATCTTCAGAGGTTAAAAGGAGATGGAGGCTAAAAACATGAACTTGAGCTTATAGGAAATATCTCACTAGGGTAAAGTGAGAAGATCTAAGAAACTCGTCCCTTCCCACCATTTTATCATGACTGAAATACATCTCTCAAATAGTTTAAAACTAGTTAAAAAAAAAAAAAAAGGAAAGAGCAACAACATATTTCACCGTTGCTGTCAACACTTAAGAGCACCATTAAAAGAAAGAATTGTGTGTCAAGGGGATGTTGTTATTTTGTGTATTATGTTCAGCCGTAAGCATATTTGCCTGAAGAGATAGCGGATTATAAAGTGCCACTGTCTTTCATGATGGAGCTCTCAAACATTTTAATGATCTTGTACATTGCAAAAGAGAGAAATTTTGTCTAACAAGAGTTGATAATGATTCAATAATGAACAATTTGCCACAGAAAGATGCATTTCCATATTCATTTAGATATTTTTTGAAGTGTTTTGCAGAGGAAGTAAAGCTATTATGTTGGATTGGTTAGTGTTCTTCACTAATGAATTCCAGAATTATCCTGTTGATTTTTTAGTATAAAAAAAGAAGGGCTGTTGCTTGTATTTTAAGTAAAACTACTGAATCCTCTCGGCACCAGCATAGTCTGTTGGTATCCATAGAGATATGTAGAAAATAAGGCTAAGATATATTGGTGGCATTGTAGCTCCATTTAGACTTGATAATCTTTGCTTATTCAACACTTTCTGTTTTAATTACATTCTAGAAAACTATTCACAAGGATATGAGATTCTTTTCTCTGTAATTATGCTGCCTTTTAGTACTCTGCGCTTGCAAGTAGAGGTCATTTTTTGCTAGGACCCTTCAAGCATGTGGTATTGTATCTTCTGTTGTTCTGTTCCCTGGACTTTACTCTATTGAGCTTTTCTACTTCCGCTTACCAGGAAGAAAGCAAGCAGATCACTCTTGAATATAGCGTAAAGGGGTTTTTGTTGGTCCGTCTTGAAAATTTGAAGTGGGTGACTTCATTGCTTTTGTGAGTCTGTCTTTCCACAAGAGGTATAAAGGGTAAAGGCAAAACTTTTGTGTTCCAAGTTCATCATCTGTGTACTACACAGTTCCACAAGCTGGTACATGATAAAAAGTCATTAAAAAATTTAGTCAATCGTGAGTGAAAAGACGATGGTTGAATATAAGCTTGCCAGGTTGAAATGGGTCCCTTGAAGTAGAAAGAGAGATCATTCTTCCAAGTGTTCTTTCAAGTATACTTCCTTGTTTTCTCATTATTTCTTTAACTCACTGCTTTACAGTTTAATTGGTTTAAATTTTAGAGCTCTGTGTGTTCCTGAGCTAGCCACAAGGTTTGAAGACATATCAACCAGGATAAATTGAAACTGTCATAGTCAGAAACTCTGAATGTGTGGGAATGGAGGATTTTAGATCATTTGCATCTTCCTGATTCACCCACTCACTGACTTTAGCAGACCAGCTGCAGGGTAGTTACTAGTTTATTTCATATCATCTGTTGATGTTGTAACACCTCTGTTAGTATCCTAGTGAGGTGATGACCCTGCTCCTCTTCCTAACAAACTAACTTCTGCTTCATGCTCAGTATGGCCATGATATTCTCTTATGGCCAGCATTATTAAGAGTATGGAGGACCTGACAATGCAGGGAAGACACACATCAGTCAGTATTTATGAGGGAGGGAGTAGAAGCTTGTTACAGTAATTAGAGCTATAAATTATTCAGATTGTTAATCAAAATATAGTTTCTTATACTCTAACTATTTATACTGTGAATATAAAGGGTAAGCCTGATTCTTGTCCTGATTGAAATAAATAGGTGAAAGAACCAAACATAGTACTCACTAAAGGAAGCAGAGAAATACGTTTTGGTTTTTTTGCAGTGTGACTTCCTTTAATGTTGGTTGTACTTGATGTGCTTGAATCACTTGGGTGGTTTGTCATCAGGCTTCACTAAAATAGGATTTGCTAGTAAATGACATTATATATATACACACCATTTATTTTACCCTCTATTAGTGTTTAACTGTCTTGTATGAGTGTAGCAGGTGGTTAATAAGCGTGTGCTGGGTAGAAACCGCTGTGTGGAGCGAAGGGCAGCAGGAGCGAAGAGGTGCTTGATGGGTTGAAGCTAAATTCCATGAATTTACAACGATAGTCTTTTGAGCTACTGTGAAACTAAAGACTAATTTTTGTGGATTAATATGAGTGACTAATGTCTGGATTGGGATGCCTTCTGATTTTAGAATTGCTGTTCACTTAATTGACTTGATTGTCTGATTGTGTAGCTTTGTAAGAATGGCTGTGCTTCTGCCAGTGCACCTTTCAAACTAGTGAAAATACTATGTCTAATTTCTATTGTAAGTTAAGCACTCTGGTTGGCTTGGATACAGTGGTAAGTATTTTTAAAGATCAACATTAGGGGCATTTTTTGAAGCAACGTGGTAAATAGCTGAAGCCTCTGTAAGCTTTCCAGTATTGATATTGTTCTCGAATAGGTGATATAAGCCTTTTAAACCTTAATTTGGGAAAGCTTTTTCTCAGTAAAAGAAGAATCTTTTGAACTTTAAATACAATTAAAAGAAGGTGTGTATCTGAATTGTTTCTCAGTTAAAAATCTAACTAATCTTCAGGAAAACTGCTAGTTTTCTTCCATAGTAAGCCCTTCAGTAAAAGAATTTTGGAATTGAAGAGATAGAGCTTATTTTCAGATGACTTTATGATGGTGAAGGCAACAGTAGGAAGCAAACAATGGTAAATAGTTATTAAAATGGCGAATGTTAAGAAGATGTCGTTA